CTTTGGTTATCTGAATCACATTTAGTCGATGAAAAACAGGAAAATCCTGGCAGAGCATGGCAGTTCATGCCTGTAATCCCAGCACTTTGGGAGGCCAAGGTGAGCAGATCACCTGAGGTAAGGAGTTCAAGACCTGCCCGGGCAACATGGTGAAACTCTGTTTCCCCTAAAGTTACAAAAATTAGTTGGGCATGGTGGTGCACACGTGTAATTCCAGCTACTTGGGAGGCTGAGGTGGGAGAATTGCTCGAACCTGGTAGGCAGAAGTTGCAGTAAGCCAAGATCGTGCCACTGCACCACTCTAAGCTGGGTGACAGAGCAAGATTCTGACTAAAAAAAAAAAAACAGGAAAATCCAGTTGGATGGACAAAATATTTTACTTTTAAGTGTCTTCAAAGAGTCAATTTCTTAGTAAAAATAATATATATTTAAATCTATAGCCATATTACACGAAACTGTAAAACATTATTAGACTGCAAGTATTACAGTATTTCTGACTAAACATATATAGCTGCCTGTAATACTTGCAGTCTAATAATGTTTTACAGTTTTGAAATAAAAATATTTATTTTTAAAAACATGCAAAATATTTCAGGTTGTAAAAAGTTTAAAATATTTCCCGGACAGGTAACTACTCTTTGGATTCTTACCCTACTACTCTACTTGTCTTAGCATACTATTACATTAAATGGAATTCATTCACTGATTCATCTGTTAATAGAGATTTCTTCATAACTATAAACTTTTGAGAATTGCACTTACGCAACCTTGTATGTTCAGTAACTAGCAATAAATTTCTTAGTAAATTATTTCTAGAAAGACATCGTAGAACATTAACAGGAAATCAATACATAACATCAGTTAGTCAATCAAACAAGTTGAGGCCGGGCACAGTGGCTCATGCCTGAATCCCAGCACTTTGGGAGGCCAAGGCAGGTAGATCACTTGAGGTCAGGAGTTCAAGACCAGCCTGGCCAACATGGTGAAACCCCGTTTCTACCAAAAATACAAAAATCAGTCAGGTGTCGTGGTGTGTGCCTGTAGTCCCAGCTACTAGGGAGGCTGAAGCAGGAGAATCACTTTGAACCCAGGAGGCAGATGCAATGAGCCAAGATCGTGACACTGCCCTCCAGCCTGGACAACAAGAGTGAAACTCCTTCTCAGAAAAAAAAAAGAAGTTGAAAGGCGTTTAATAAATTCAAATGACTTCTATAATAATGCAAGCAATAATGATTTATAGAAAGAAAATCAAGCAGTGATTAATTATAAAAAAAGAAAAAAATTCTACCCCTTTATAATTATGCAATGGGAATATATCTCTGCTTTATAATGAAAAACTTATCATATACTCAATCCAAAAATTGGGGAGGAAAAAGAAAAATATCTGTGGCTCTTACATCATAAGATTGTTGTCATATAATGCTTTTAGACGTCAAGCAGAAATAAGGTAAGCTATACAAGCATTCTGGGAAGCAATGAAACTTTGGCCACTAAAGAAAGCCTAAGCCAGTGAACTTTCATAACATTCTAAAATGAGTTCTTGTCATGAAATGTCATGTGCTTCATTATATAATCTCAGCTCTTTGTGAGCATGTTATGACTATGGCCAAAGTAAAGGAAAACAGGAGTGTCTCTAAATCAATCATGGGCCATGAAGCCAGACAGACTGTATGACAGATGCGATTTTTCTTGGCACCACTTGGGCGTAACTAATTGATGACAATCATATGTCCACACTGGCACATTTCCACAGGGGATGTGTGTGAATACGTCACCACATCTGGATGCTAGGCATGCTGGGGTCCTGAGGCACAAAGACCTACTAACTCCAGAGGCCCAGCAGCTGTACTCAATGAACACCGTGGGAGCTCCACAGAGTGATGAAAGGACTAAATTACTGCATCTGTAAATACAGATTTATTTCATTAAAATACGAGGTAACTGCTGCATCCATCTCTTGTTCAAATAGACGTTTGCCCCTTTAAAAAAAAAAAAGGGAAAAAGCTAGCATCTACATCTACATCTACAAATATATACATATTTTTAACTTTGTAAAGAAAATTTGCATTTCTCCTGTGAAAAGATAACCTACACACAAAGCAAAATCACAAGTCTCTACAAGTCTCTTTTAATAAAAAAAAAATTAACACAGAAAAATATGATCTACTGTCATCATTTTAGCAAGACTACTCCTCTTCGATTTAATTCAAATGGAAGATTTACATAATTTGTTACAAATTTTGTGTTGAAAATTCAACATACTATAGTAAAAAAACCACTATGATATATTAATATATAATTTCACCTTTAATATGAAAGATGACTATAAATAACTAACTTACAAATAGAGACTGAACTAAAATCTTATTCTGATCCCACAAAATAAATTATTAATTTATAAAATTATTTGAACTATGTTAACAATTACGTAAGGCAATGCAAAGCTTTCTCATGAAAAGTCCTATTCACAAAATTACTTCAATAAAAAATGTAGAACTGAAAAACTATTTGTATATGTATAATCAAATATTTCTCATAAACCTTTCATGAAATAATTACTTTTCCCAAGCACTATGACAGAAATCATTCTATAGCAGTAGTTTATATCATGTCCTCTTAGATAAAATTCAATTTTAATCAGATCAGAAACAAAAAAATTCATTTGTCTTATCTCTTTTCTTTTCAGATCATTTTTCCCCATCTCTTATTTCCTTTGACATTTCCCTTAGTGTCCTGCCCCTTCAAGCTGCATTACAGTCACGATGCTCTTCACTCCACATGCACCTAGTTAACACTGGACTGGCTTTCCAAGACATCTGGTTAACCTAGACTTATGAGCGGGTAAGAAGAGAGGTATGTCAAATTCATCCTTCCCTTTGCTAAGAATAACTAAGATGTGAAAGGCATCTTTCTCTATTATGATTGCCACTCATCTCCTAAACATTTATGTGGTTAAAGAGGGTATTACAAATACATTAGACTTTTTCACATGTGGACTGAATAGAGAAAACAATTTCATTTTAGGAAAATCATCAAACATTGTTTAACACATCCTTTTCCCTTGCAAGCCTACAAATGCCCTCGGTAGCAAAATAATGACTTTAAAACAACACAGCTTAATATCCTGTGTAAAAACTGGAATACATAACTAAAAAGTAGACTTCTTATGTAAAAATTTTAAAATAGGGTCAATGACTTTTCTCATCTTCTATCTTCAATTCATCTAAGATTATCAATAAACATGAAAATCATATCACAGATATGCTGGTGCCACCACTAAATAGTATTTTGATTCTATATATTTGACAAAGACAAACTACAGTTTGGAGGAAGGAGTGGAGAAGGAGTGAGAGAAGAAAGGAAGTGTAGGAAAGAAAGAAAGGAAGAAATTAAGCACAGCTGACATAACTACTGACACTAATACAATTTAGATAGCCCCTGATTTCATCATCTAAGTTTCTTTCATCACTGCTAGTAGCTGGGACATTCCAGCCAGAGATTAGGATTCTACATCCAGTCCAGCACAAGTTCTCTGACTGTACAATGTTTGGCTTATTTTCTCATCATCTGTCTCCAGACAAAAGCATAAGGTTGATGTCTAAAACTTTTATGAACAGAAATTAACAGCTTTGTCCACAGATATTAACACCCTAGTAAACAAACTAATTCTATTTAATGAGTTACCTTGTTTCTCTGACTTACAGTGTCACATCAATGCAACTGCTAGTGAAACAGCCACCCCACAAAATGGGCAGCAGTTGTCCTACCAGAGGTAACTGCAGAGGCTCTCTGACTCTTAAGTAACATCAGAGTTCCAGAATGGGGACCCAAAGGTGAGCAGGACAAATGCAAAGTACCTTGAGGGTCACCAAGTTCATCACTTAATGGCCGTATTTGTACGTTCCTCAAACACTTTATCCAACGTCATAGAGAATAAGTTAGGATCGCAGAGTCCTCAACTTTGCCATTCTGCTTAATATCCTCCTAAGAGCAGGCCAATGCCCAAATGGCATGTGGCAGGACCAGCTGCTGCTCTGATTTATATTTCAAAATGTGGATAGCTTTATAAAAAGAACACTTTCAGCAGTCTTTTCCACCCTGAGCATATGAGAGCTATCAAAGTCAACAAAACAGTAATCAGCACACAGGTTTATTACTTGGTCTTGCTCTTCAAGGCCTCTCTTTTAAGAACTTTTGCTTTTCTTCAGTGTGACCAGAAACCAAGAAGATACAACTTGATACAGTTCAAATGCTTTGCTTGACCTCTTTTCTCAAATCAAACCACAGAGAAACAAGACTTCTGATTTCCCCATTAATAAACATCCAGAAATTTGGAATGACAAAATTTCCTTTTCTAAAATGAGTCTACAATATTTAGAGTTGATGCTAATCCAGGGACAGCAAAAACTAAATAGTAGAGCTAAGACTAGAATAGAGCTTGTTTATTAACAACTTAACCTCTTTACCTAGGATTATGTATGTAAAACACCACTTTAAGAAACAGTCATCTTTTTCAGAAACCATCTACAGCTGACCCTTGAACAACATGGGTTTGAGCTGCGAGGGTCATCCACAGATTTTCTTCTGCCACTGCCACTCATGAGAGCAAGACCAGCTCCTCTTCCTCCTTCTTCTCATGTCACTCAACATAAAGACAAGGATGAAGATCTTTATGATGATTGACTTCCACTTAATGAATAGTAAATATATTTTCTCTTCCTTATGATTTTTTTAGTAACATTTTCCTTTCTCTAGTATTTAATACACATAAAAAATATGTTAGTTGATACAAATTTTGTTCATGTTATCAGTAAGCATTCTGATTAGTAATAGGCCATTAGTAGGTGAGTTTTTGGGGAACCAAAAGTTACCTATGGATGTTTAACTGTATGGGGGTGTCAGTGCCCGAACCCCTACTTTGTTCAAGGGTCCACTGTATTTCCTTTTCTCCACCCACACATTTTACATGCACTGCAAGCCTCTCCACTGCAAACACTTACCTGACTTTTTTGCCTTGCTCAGTGAGCATCTTTACCAAATCAGCAATAGGGTATTGAGCTTTGGCTGCACAGAGACCATATCCTGCAAGGAACATTAAGAACACAGAAGAATATGTTTATTTATTTTGATATTACATAAGTACAACTTCTCTCTTGATCAAAACACATGTCTATGCCAACAGAGGCAATCATTTATCAGACTAGAAATGAAAGCAAACTTATAAGATGACCTTTTAAAAATATTGTCCTAAACTTGAAATTCAAAATGTAATGACTGCTCCTCAATCTTCTGTAGTATCTGATGCTGCACCCCAACCCCCACACCACACACACCCTTGGGTGTTCCCTCTCTTGTCTCTTTCTCTGTCTTTCTTTCTTTCTCTCTCTCTCTTTCATGTTTTTAATCTCTCTTCATACTTGGCTTTGATGACACTGCAGACCTCAGTCCCAGCCTAACTTTGTTATTATTCTTCCTCTAGTTCCTGGAATAGATTTTCTCCTTCTTTTCTCCCCTTACATAACAAAGGGGCTTTAACTTTGAACCCTCACACTCTCCTTGAAAACCTCAGCTCATCTAAGGCTTCAACAACCATCTGGTGATTCCCAATCTGTCTGCGGGCTCAACCTGTCATTTGAGCCCCAGTATAATATGCCTCTTGTCTCATCTCTGCCTCGAATTTAATGTCTCAAGAAAACTCAAAATTTCTCCCCACACACTCCAAAAAGATGTTTCCATATTTCTAATGTTATTATAGGTATAACCAAGAACTCCAGCCATCTTCACCCCCCTTTCTGTCCATTCTAGCTCAACAATGTATCTCACATCTGTCCCCAGTTTTCTAACCCTGTTTTTTCAAATGCCAAGTCTCTACTCTAGCTATTCCCACTGGCTTCTCCCATCCCAACACCATCTATCCTCTAAGGCCTAAAAACAAATCCTCACTTCCCTACAAACCTTCATAGGTTTCTGGTGATAGAAAAATTGTGTGTATAGTTCAGTTTAGCCCTTATCATAACCCACCTTGCATTACTGATCTACATATCTCACTTTATCACTAGATGGAAAACGCCTAGAGAAAATAGATTGTGTCCTCTACATCTTTACACCTTTATACTCCAGAACAGTGTTGCTCAGTAGGTAAGACCAATGCCACTTTGGGTGTGATAATTCATGACACAGAGTGTCCCAGACCTTACAGTATATTTAGTTTATCTGCTTCCATCCACTAATTGACAGTAGCATCGCCATCTTTGGACAACCAAAAACCCAAATCCACATATTTCAAGTGCCCCTAAAAAGTGAGATTGTCCCAAGTTGAGAAAGCTTACACTTTAACATTCAATTCAGCTAATGTCACCTATTTTTATTTCAGTACATAACTAACTAGTAAACTACCCACATGTCAAATCAGTAGATTTTCTTTATAGAAAACTCATTTGACAGCATAATAGAGTTAAAATCTTAATCCGAAACCAATTACCCATAATACCACAGCATTCTGTGATAACAGTGAAGAAGAACTGGGCTAAAACTCAAAAAATTGGAAACTTGAGGCCTGTAAAGTTTAAATGACTTGGGCAATGTCACATAGATCATTAGAGGCAAAATTAAGAATAAACGTGCAGTATCGTGAATCCCATACCAACCTCTTTCTACTGGGCCACATTGCCTCATTTTGTTGAAAACCACATCATTCTTGATGATTTTTAAAATTATTTTTGAAGAAAGAATAACATTTACTGAGCAACTCTAATGAGTGAGCTAAAGACTTTCATATACTATACCTAATTTAATATTGATAATAGGCCCAAAAATTACCAATGAGAATAAAAAACCAAGACCTGAAAATGATGCAAATATGTACACATAATCACAGAAAGACATGGCTAGAATCCACTGCAAGAATTTCTAGAATTTCCATGAGATAGCCAAAATATTAACTTAAAATTGAGAATTCTCAGTATTTTTCACTTAGTAATCATAGAGTTGCTATTAAGTTTTCATTATCTTTTCAAAACTAAAGAAGTTTCAATTCTACTTTCCTATTATAAGAAATTTTAACATCATCAATTATAATAGCTATTACAGGTTGTTTGCTTTTGGTTTTTTGCTTTTTCTCTTTACCTGGTGTAATAATAATGCTATTAGCTTCTCGAATCATGTCAATTGCATTGTCAAGGTTGATTTCCGTATGTGTGCCAGAAATTTCCATGGGTTTTCCACCAGCTGTTGAAGTGGTACCATAGCCTCCAAGAATCACATTAGCCAGGGAGCGATTCATTGCCTAGAGAGCCAAATTAGTAGCTGTGAGAGTTTAATCCACATAACTTTTTGAGAATGGTACAAATATTGTGTATATGACATTTGGAATCATTTTAAAAGGTTTATTTGATCATTTAAAATATTTTAATCAGATAAATTTCAGCTGGCTTCTGAAAATCACTTCAAAAATTTAAATGACAGAGATATATGATTATTTCTTCCCTATCAAATTAATTGAAAACTGATATATTTTCAGTAAAAAGTAAATGAAAACAAAACACTTAATGAAAAGGTATAAGTAAAATAATAAACTAATGAAAAATCATATCTACTCATTACTGCCTAAATACTGATTGAGCAATTTTATCCCTAAGCTGAATTCTGCTAGAGTCCATCTTCACAGATACCAGCTGTGAAGAAGCAACTGGTAAGAATCAGAACAGTAAGGATCCATTTCGTCCAGAATTTTGCTGCCCTCTGTCACCAAGAAAATAGAAATGTGGGGGTTGAAACTGTCTTATATTCCAAACCAATTTTAGCTCCACGAAGCCCCATACCTAAGTTTTAAACTGGGTTCATCACTAGGACTCTAAAATATTGCACTTCCAGGTAGGTAGAAGAATAAGGTTATATACTCTTTAAAATTTATACTCACTCTTTTAACTAGAAAAATAATCTCAAAAGAAAAATATGAGACATGGACTTCTCATACTCATTTATCATCACTCAAGAACGTACCATAGGAATGCCACTGCTGAAATACATGACAATAACTGATCTGGTTTTGAAAACAGTTCATTTGCAGACCTCTGGAGGTGGGGTAGTAAAAGAAAAGGAAAAAAACTAGTTGTTCTAAGTAATCAAATGCATTGTAAGAATTCAAATCACTGCATGTGATCAAAACAGTTGTTCTACACGGTCATAACTGACTTTATCCCTTCTGAAAAAAATTCCAAAAACTTACTAAACCTTATTTTAAGTGCTGTAATGAATACATTATTGATCCATTACACCACTTAAAAGCTATATGTGTCAATATATTGCTTTTTTAAAAAATACAACACTTCGACCTGAGAATCATTAGTAAAAGGAGGAAAAAAAAAGAAAAAAAATACAACACTTTAGTATTAAAAAAGCAAAAAAGCACCAAGGTCTTCAATAATAAGTACCACACTGGTAAAACTATGGCCACCCCACACAATGATGGCCCAGCCTGCTACCAGCTTAGTGGAGACATTTCATTATGCTGAGTAGGGCCCAGCCAAAGATAGGAAGGAAAAGGTACACAGAAGATGAGCAAGAAGCCATACTTTAATAAAGCCTATAAATAATGTAAATTTCAAAGATGATGAAGCAAAACGTTGTCAAAATTATAATTGTTCTTTCAACCTAAACTCATTTATCAGACACAACATTGACATTTTACAGAGCCCAAAGTCTGACAAATTTGTCTGTATTGCAAACAAAATAAAGCCTGAAACATCTTTACATGTATTAATGGATAAAAGGGTGAAAGAATTAAAGAAATGCCTTTTTGTTTTCTGAGACGGAGTCTCGCTCTGTCACTCAGGCTGGAGTGCAGTAGCATGATTTCAGCTTGCTACAACCTCCACCTCCGGGGTTCAGGCAGTTCTCCTGCCTCAGCCTCCCGAGTAACTGAGATTACAGACGCCCCCCCATTACATCCGGTTAATTTTTTATGTATTTGGTAGAGACAGGTTTCACCAAGTTGGTCAGGCTGGTCTCAAACACCTGACCTCAAGTGATCTGCCCGACTCAGCCTTCCAAAGTGCTGGGATTACAGGAATGAGCCACTGCGCGCAGCTAAAGTAATGCTTTTAATGAAGTTCACAGTCCCAAGCTGACATGAAGTTTTAAATTCTTAACACATTCCTCCCATATTTAAACCCAACTTTTAAGGAAAACCCAAATAGCCACATCTAAGACTTCCCAAACATTAAACTCATTGATCTAGATTAATACTTTCTAGTTTTTAATTATACAATTCTAAAGTTGTTATCAAAATATATGTTCTACCAAATTTTTGCCCTTAAAAATTGATTTAAATGACTATTTTGGACATTAAAATATTTCTGTTATAGATAACTTTCTTTTAAAAAAGTCCAGTGAACAAAGAGGTTCCATCACCTGTATCACACAGTCCTGCAGAAGACAACAGAGGGGAAGAAGCAGAGGGTCAGAGGAGAGGGATAAATAAACCACTTTATTCTAACTCAGCTTAAAAGGAACCATTATTTCCTTCTATAAAACTGAATGAGGAAGAAGAAAAGAATCTCTGAGGACATTTAGTTAATGTGTACCCATTTCTGATGGCATCTTAGGGAGGAAAAACAAGGAACCACAGAACAGTTGAACAATCAAAGTCAACTTGTTAAACACATATCCAAAATTCTATCACCGTTAAGCTATAATAATAATTCCATGTGGTCTCTTAAAAACGAAAATAATATCATCTCTAAATTTACCATTGCAACATCATATTTTCAACAAATGTTTAGGGTTTATGGTTTTGTTTTGTTTCTTTCTCTCTCCCTTTTTTTTTTTTTTGCCTTCTTAAATGATTAATGAGACTATCCTATGACCGCTGATCCAGAGATTGAAGAGTTCCCAGCTACCAAGACAAAGAATTTGCAACACTGCTTAGACTGTTCCTTTTAAGCTATTAAGCCCAATAATTAAAATTGCATTCTACATTAAAGAGAACCTTAATTCACATAATTCTGAACACACTGTAAGAAATAAATCTGAAAACAAAGGAAAGGTTATAAAACAGACAAAGCCAAAGCACTAATAATATATATATCATTTCCTAGCATCTCTCATTTTAATGCTTTCTAGGTACTAATTAATCAATCACAAAGGAAAAACATTTTCGGTTTGGCTTTTGATCCACTTTCTTCTGTTCTATTTTTATTTGGAACCAAGCAGCAAAGTACAAAAACCAAAAAATTTGGTCTGAAAATGCTGTTCAATTTTTGTAAAACCTCTATTTCCCAGGCAATCTGGGTGCTATCACAAAGAAACTGTAAAACGATGAAGAGGTTAATGTCCATCTAATAACTGGATACCGTTAATTTGAGTTGGTTGCTTGGGCAGTGTCAACATTTCTCAGTTTTTATAATATTGGGTATTGTGTAACCATAGCACTGAGCTCAGAGGACACCCAAAAGAATTCTTTGTCCAACAGAAATTCAATTTTAGGGCTGCTGGTTAGCCACTTGGGGTGCATTCCATTCCCTCGCACAAAATAAAACCACTCTGTTCTGGTTTGGACTTGTGTATTTCCTTCAATAAACAACAATGAAGGTCAACATACTGGTGCCATATTAACTCTATTATATATGCTATCATAACCTATCTGGAGATGATTCTAAAATATGAAACAAGCTAACAAATAAAATATTTATCTGATGTTTATTTAACAAACCAACTTGTGTGACTGTGCCAGGTACTTGGCCAGGCTCCACAAACATAAAGGTGAATAATCAATGGTGCCTTACAATACTTTCTCTGTAAAATGAGAATAATAATACCTCTAGAATTTCTGTGGTGATTAAATGAGCTGTATTTGTAAAGCACCCAGCATAATGCCTGCCATGTTGCCCTAATGCCCAATTTTGAGTACCTATTTCATTTTTATGATTATTCTGATCTACCTAGAGCCTTCATGGCTAAGCATAGCCATGAGGAGAATGAATTAAGTGTCCTATAATCTCCTATAATAAGGAAGCATAAAGAATCAATGAAGGTTAATGTAAAAAGTCAGAAATTGAAAAATATGAGAAGAAAAGATAATTTCTATCTTCAAAATAAAAAAAAAAATATGACAGCCCTTGTCTTTGTTGGTTTCTGACTTGTTCTGTGACAATGCCTAGGAGTCAAGATTATATAGTAAAACAAACACATTGCACATCGCACATAAGAGCTTTGACTGGTGAATCCTTTGTGAAGATCAATTTAACAATATCAAAAGCCAACAAAAAAATCTTACTCCCTTTGACCATGTAATTGCACTTACAAAAACCAGACTTAAGGAAATAATCAAAGAGGTATAAGAAAGAATACTGCAACAAAGAAAACAAAAAACAGTTAAAAACAACTAATATGAATTTGAATAGATTATGGTATATCTGTATGCTATAATGGTAGGTGCTAAAAATTATTAGAAAATTAATCATTAATTAAATCTTAATTAACATTAAGTTTAGACAATTATATAATATATTAAATAGAATATATTTAAACATATGCATATAAAAAAGACTGGAATGTTAACAGTTAAGTAGTAATGGAAGTTTAGGTAATTTTGTTTTCTTATTTTTCCTTTTCTGTTTCTTCCAACTTTCCTACAGTAAACATCTCTATGGAATTTCTTTTTTTTTGAGACAGGGTCTCACTCTGTCACCTAGCCAGCAGTGCAGTGGTACAATCACAGCTCACTGCAGCCTTGACCGCCCCATGTTCAGGTAATCCTCCTGCCTTAGCATCCCCCGACCAAGTAGCTGGGACTATAGGTGTGTACCAGTATGCCCAACTAACTTTTGTATTTTTTGCAGAGACAGGGTTTTGTCATGTTCCCCAGGCTGGTCTTGAACTTCTGGGCTCAAGTGATCCACCTGCCTTGGCCTCCCAAAGTGCTGGAATTACAAGTATGAGCCACTTCACCTGGCCAAAATTTTTTTTATTAAAGCTTCAACTGTTCTTGAATTCAAATTATTAATCTGATCCAATATATTTATGGCCTCAGGCAGCTATTGGAATAATTTGATAGCTATATATACAGAACAGGAATACAAAATATCTATGGTATGCTGATGGTAAATGGCATGCCTGTGGCAGTAGAAATGGAAAGAAAATAAAGAGAAGACCTAGAAAAAGATATCAAGAAATACAAAAGAACAGGAAAAATAAGAGAAAAATTATATAATTGCAGAACACATAGAAGAGAGTACTTTCAACAAGTACCTATTACTATCTTATTCCAGTTACTGTTAGAGACTTACTATGTGTTACTGTAAAACTTACTATGTTTGCCATAACTAATAACAATAAAAGACAGCAAGTAAAGAAGGAGAAGAGTAATAAGAAAGACACAGACAGAAATGTGAGGAATACTCTAGATAAATTTTAAAACCTAAAGAAAACCATTTTTTCCTTTTTAAGGATAAAGTAAGAAATTACTCATGTTGACACTTCAAGAACTAGATACAAGTCTTCTTCTTCCCTCCTCTCCCTGTACCAGTATGCCATTGGCTTTGTTAAAATCAAATCCTTCAAATTCTCCCGTTTAACTTTAAAAGCCACTTTCTGACAAACCATACGTTTAAGAATAATGAAAATCTGCTGCCCCCTGCTGGTCATTCAAATTCATCAACTGAAGCAAAACCAAATTGTTAAAAGTTCACTTTTACAGAATACTGTATTTCTAGTAACACTGAATAAATATTTCTTCTTCACAAATGTTTCTTCTTTCTGTCACAAAGCCTGACACTTTTCAAATAGGATACATAAGCCTTCACCTTTCCAAATTCACCAAGCAATTTAGGAGACTTAATTTTAAATTACTTGGCTTGTTTCGCATTTGGAGTATCAAATCCTTTGTTTTGCAATATAGCCAAAGAAGCAAAAATATTTTTTCTATGAAAAAATACTTCAGCCTTCCAAATTACAATGAGGTTTTCAATTAAATCATAAGAAAAATCCTGAGTTGTAAAATAAGGGAGTTTTTAAAATATTATAAACAGAATGAAGGTAGAGTAAGTATCTGATACGGTTTGGCTCTGGGTCCCTACCCAAATCTCATGTCGAATTGTAATCCCGACATGTCACGGGAGGGGACTAGTGAGAGGTGATGGATTATGGGGGCTGACGTCCCCCTTGCTGTTCTTGTGTTAGAAGTTCTCATGAGATCTGGTGGTTTAAAAGTGTGTAACACATTCCCCTTCACTCTCTTTCCTGCTCCGCCATGATAAGACGTTCTTACTTCCCATTCACCTTCTGCCATGATTGTAAGTTTCCTGTGGCTTCCCAGTCATGCTTCCTGTTAAGCTTGTGAAGCTGTGAGTCAATTAAACCTCTTTTCTTCATAAATTACCCAGTCTCAGGTAGTTCTTTAAAGTAGTGTGAGAATGGACTAATACAGTATCCGTTTCTTGTCTAAATTATTTATCAGTGATTAAAATCACTTTCTGGTTTCACTTAGTTTCATACTTGCACTTTAGCAGTTATTTGAAAGTATTCTTTAGAAATAATATCTATAATTTGAAAAAATGTTCTAGTCAAACCTTTAATTGTAATATTTGCAGAGCATCTTCTTGCCATCAGGAAGAGAACTTCAAACAAACAAAAAAGCTAGGACGTGCTTGTAACTTTTTTCTATTCTTTTTTGAAAACATCATCATGCTGATCACAAAACTTCTAAGGTAGGAACTCTCACAGATGACCAATGGAAGTGTAAATTAGAACAACCTTTCCAGAAACATGGCAATAAGTATAATAAGCCTATAAATTCTAGGAAATCTATCTTAAGACAAAACACTGAAATGTCAAACATATACTTATATACAAAGAGAAATCAAAATCAAACAACTTCAAATGTATAGCATTAATGGGAAATTAATTTTGTATATTCATATGATGGATTAAGATATGATGGATATGATAGATTTAAGTCACTTAAAATAATATTTTTAAAGCATTTTTTAAATAAACTTTCACTCTTGTTGCCCACTCTAAAGTGCAATGGCACCATCTTGGCTCACTGCAATCTGCCCCTCCTTGGTTCAAGCAATACTCCTGCCTCAGCCTCCCAAGTAGCTAATTTTTGTATATTTAGTAGAGACAGGGTTTCATCAAGTTGACCAGGCTGATCTTGAACCCCTGATCTCAGGTGATCCATCTGCTTCAGCCTCCCAAAGTGCTGGGATTACAGGGATGAGCCACTGTGCCCAGCCTGCAAGCATTTTTAATGACAAAAAAGTCAACAATATAGTACATAACAGTTTTTTAAATGTAGGACAATATATAATATGATCAGACAAGTCAATACACAGATATGCAATACATAAGGAAATAAACTAAAATCTTACATGTTTATCTCCAGATGGAGAGAGGCATTAGAAGATTTTTATCTTTCTATTTAATTTTCCATCTTTACAGTTGGGTACCTTAAAAGCAGTCTTGAAAATTTATGCAAATAAAATACTCTGCTATTTCTGCTGAAGAGAATTCAGAGCTACCATACTCATTTCTGTGACTAATAAAAGAAATGACAAGTACATCCATGTTTTCAGAATGTCATCTCCTTTTCTTTCACGTATGTGTTCTTACCACACACATGATGTATGACAGGATAGCACCAGATGAGCCTATGAGTGCACCCACGATGGTCAGCAGATTGTTATTGAGCAGGAAGCCTTCTGCACACAGGGCCCAGCCTGAGTAGCTGTTCAGCACAGTGATGACGACAGGCATGTCGGCACCCCCAATAGCAGCTGTCAAAGTCACACCCTAGAACAACAGTGAAAGCAGAACTCAAAATTAATAACATAAAAATAAAACCTCTGGCATTTAATATTTTGGTCCTTAATTATTCTGGCTTTCCCATTAATATATTTACATGTAAGTTCCACTTCTGGTAATAAGTGTCTCCCCTCTGACCAACACTCCCACAGGTATAACAGCTATAAACACTGAGCCACCCACTCCCCTAAAAAAAAAAAATCCCTACATTTTAAGAAAACACTTTCCAGTAACGAAAAGCAGACAGAAACTGGAGAGGGGGTCTATATTTGGAAAAACATGACACTAAGTGAATTCCCCACTTTTTATGGCTTTAGACTGACGGCAAGCCCCCTGTTGGTACCAATTAAAGAAATTATAACTAAAATATAAGCCCACAGTCTTACTGGCTTAAAGATCCCGAAGATAGCATTTAAGATCACTAAGGCAGCTGGAAAGTAAAAAGGGAATCCCACAAAGGAGCAGGCTATAGAGAGGAAGTCCCAGTTTCTGTATATAAACTCTACCCAAATCTCTGGATGATTCTTGAACTACACATATGAGAGACAGACTTCAAGCAATCCTGTTAAGGATAAAATAACAATAGATTTCAGCTGCCCCCCACCATAATTTGAAATTTGAGTTTAGCCATGTTAGTTGGTTACAAAAACACAAACATAAAAAAAGATAATTAATACTCTTTGAAAGAATACAACATAATCCAAAATGTCTATAATGTATCATTAACAATGTCCATGATACAACCCAAAGTTACTAAACAGAGGAAAGGAATAAAGGTAGTGGGGAGAAAGTTTTTGCTTTTTATTTCACATATTTTTACTTTTTTTTATTTGTTACAATGAGAGCATATTCATGTATTTCTCATTTAAGCCAAAAGCAATAAATTTAAAACAATACTTTGTCTTAGACATTCTCAAAGAACAAATAAACACTTTAAATATCATATTCACTAACAATTCTTAAAGTTTTTCATTTGTATATCTTTTTTTGTGTGTGTGTGAAGCAGAGTCTTGCTTTGTTGCCCAGGCTGGAGTGCAATGGTGCAATCTTGGCTCACTGCAACCTCCGCCTCCAGGATTCAAGTGATTCTCCTGCCTCAGCCTCCCAAGTAGCCAGGATTACAGGTATGTGCCACCATGCCTGGCTAATTTTTTTATTAATGGAGTTTCACCATGTTGGCCAGGCTATTCGCAAACTCCTGACCTCAGGTGATCCACCTGCCTCGACCTCCCAAAGTGCTGGGATTACAGTCATGAGCCACCGCACCTGGCCACATTTGTATATCTTTTATGTTGAAACTTTCTTAACCTATTCTGCTTTATTAGATTAAAAATATCAAAACTATTTTTCTTTTGTTTAAAATAAAACAAGTATCAGTGCTATAAAAGCTAGAATAAAATTAGACCATGAGTGTTCATATAAAGATGAGATTTTAATTTGCTTTTCAGTGTTCTATAGTTTTTGTGTTGCAATCATGACTTAACTAATGATCATACAAAAATAAATATCATTTTTACACTATGATTTTGGTGTTTCTGAATCAAGGAGCCAGTAAGTATTTCATAAGCAATTGCCATGTATCTAACTTTGTGTTAGGCACTGCAGATTTAACTTAAATATAAATCTTGTCCAGAGTACATACTGAAAGAACATGAATAACAGTGAATAACAGTAAATAACAGAGCTACATGAAACAGCATCATACATGGATATAAGATGCCAGACTACCACATAGACAACTAAAAACTACCATGTGTTTCAATTACTAAATGTAAAAATAATAGAGAAAGAGGAAGACTGAACCTATCATGAAAGCTTCACTGAACTCTCTCACTGAGCATGTAGGGTTTTTAAACTGCATTGCATTTTATAATTATTTGATTTCATGTCATATCTTCCAAAGAATGTGAGAACAACTAGTGGGCAGAGACAATCTTACATGTACTGTATAAACGCTGAAGCACTACTTTGTAGGGCTTGTCACATAGTAGGCACCTAATAAATGAAACTGAAACCCTTGGCCTTTTTAGGCTCCTGTTCGCCAACACATTGATCCAGTGAAGAGACTCCAGAGCAGTAGAGGTCTCATGTGACAACTTTGAAATGAACGATTAAATTGCAAGAAAGAATAATATTCTTCTTATACTTTTCTATGTTTTCCAGATTCAAAAAAAAATGAACATGTGACATAATTTTAAAAACAGTTTTATTCTATCAAGGTTCTTGAAGAGATAAAAATATGATTAGACTTTAATCTAACAAAATATTCCCAGTTCCTCTCACTAAAAATATACTTTTTAATCTCTGACTTCTTACCATGATAGCAGAGAGAGCAGACACAGAACCCAGACACATGATGCCAGTGGTAAAGCTTGGGTCCAACATGAATGGGATTATCCCACCCACACTAGCAGCCAGCAAGCCTGCATTGAGTCCGTGCCTTCCAGGGAGTAGGAGAGGGGCAGATTTCAGGAGACCTAGAGCCAAGCACACAGTATTTAGAATTCAGAATGTGTTGTAAGAAACCCCCTCACACATACTCAAGTGTGTCTTTTAATCCTAAACTACCAAAATTTATTATTAGAATAACATGGTATTTAAAATATTACTTTATATCACCAGATATGAAACACAAAAGCAAATTAGAATTATTACACATAACAAACATGAATGGAGACAGAAAAACTATGGTTCGACTTCACTATTCTTTTCCCTACTTTGATACCAAAACAAGTTCTTTCCTTTTTATCATGAAATCTTAAAAAGTGATTTTCTCCTATATGATCAACATGGAAGTTGTTAAGTGTGGTTTTATTTATTTAAGAATTCATGCGTCCAAGACTTCTGACAAAACTAAAGCATAAAAAGTAAAAATAAATAAACAGAACTTCAAGAGGAAGTCCTAGCACACTAGTATTTCTGATTTTATCCACTGAGCCCGAGGAGGAAGAAACCTTGTTTATCTGTTCCTAAAAGCAAAGCATGAGGTAAGAATGTTTGAGACTGAAGTTATTTTATGATTTTCAAGTTTCATGGAAGTTCCCCACTTAATTTCCATGACCTTATTACTGAGAGGCAAGACCATGTTTTTAAATCACAAACTAGTCTCTCTAGAGACTTTTCAGTAACAACACTGACAACAGCCACTGTAGGGTTTTTTCTCCACTTCCATTTTCATGACTGACTTTACCAGCAGCAAAGTTGTCAGGCTAGAGTCCTAAACGTGTATTTGTTTCAAAATAAGTACTGTTTACTACTCATAAATTTATTTAATAAGCTTCTATTTTGGAAAATGTATAAAGTTCATTTCTGTGAATTCTACATAGCCATCTCTAACCATGGATTATGAGGATGTTATTTAGTTCATATGTATTATCAAAAGTCAACTAATCCCTCTATGCAAATTTTTGTGCACTAATTTCCTCTATTAGCTGTCTGCAAATGAAACAGCTACAAAGCTTTATGAGACTTGTAAGTATCAATAAAGGAGAAGGATGGGGGAAAATTTTTTTTATAATTTCTGAGTGCTTTATGAATACTCTTCACCTAACAGTTTTTACTGTTAAGGTATTTTCTTTTTTGAATATTTTTATTAATAATAATATTTTATTTTTTATAAAAATCAGAGATAGGGTCTCGCTATATTCCCCAGGCTGGTCTTGAACTCCTGGGCTCAAGATCCTCCAACCTCAACCCCAAAGTGCTGGGATTACACGCATGAGCCATTGTGCTCTACCCTGTTAATGTATTTTCTGAAATTGAAATGGATCCCTAAATACCATAAACAATAGATATTTACCTCTATGTTATGCTGAATCACTTACCCTGCAATTTTCCATAGGCAATGAGAGACCCACTAAAGGTGACACCACCAATGTAAGTGCCGAGGTAAGCCACAATCTTGGTGAGATTTGCTGCTGCATCCGTAGCAAAATGTGGATATTCTATAATGTACTCAGCTATGCAAGTAAGTACAGCTGCCAAACCCACTAAACTGTGAAAAGCAGCAACTAATTGAGGTAAATCAGAAATCTGGATGCGTTTGGCAATTGTCAATCCTGTTATGAAATGAAGGTCAAAAATAAATTAAAATTTGACAAACTTCTGAGAAGTAACCACAACAAAGATCACCCTTAAGGATTTCCATCATTGTCACCAATAAATATTATCTAGTTCCCAGTATGGGCTAAATATTCTCTATGGGGGCTGTACAGAAGGTAAGGACACTGATTGTATAAGGGGTTGAGTATCCCTTATCTGATATGCTTGGGACCAGAAGTGTTTCAGATTTTAATTCTTTTTAATATTTTCATATACATAATAAGATATCTTGGGAATGGTACCCAGGTCTAAACAAGAAATTTATTTATGTTTCATATACATATAGCCTAAAAGTAATTTTAAACATTTTAAATTATTCTGCATGTGAAACAAAGTTTGCATTAAGTATTTATGTGTGGAATTCACCACCTGTAGTGTCATGTCAGCCCTCAGAAAGTTTTAGATTTTGGAGCATTTTGAATTTTCAGATTAAAAATGCTCACCGTGCATACCCTTTCAAAACAGCAGTTTCTCTCCACACAGCTAAGCACGACCCAACTCCATTGAACCCAAAACACGCAGCATCAATGCACGCCTCTTCCTCTCACAAACTCCCAACCTTCCCCAGCCAACATTTCTTCAGACTACCTAAAGCTCTAATTAAATTCCCTTATATTCTCCGCGTTACAACCCAGGCCTTGTTCTCTATAGCCAGCGCTTGCTCCTGAGCACATTAGAAACACCTGGAACGTGAAGACAACCTTGGTTTTCAGGTGGGTAGATGGGATCAAAGTTCCAAGGTAAAGAAACGCAAAAATCTGGGTAGTAAATATGCAAGAAGTGGAGATCAGAATATTTGCTAAGCTCATGTCTAAAGGTTTTCCTGCCATGAACCTACAATGCAAATATTTGCTTTCAAGTGCCTTTCTAGAGATTATCAAGAGATGAGTCAAAGCTTTTCTGAGGAAGTATAAAAGGAGGCCTAAAGCCAGTGTTGCACTAGTAAACACTTAATAACCAGTTCCAGAAGGAAAACATATATGCACATGAAAATACATGAGGTTTAACTGATATAAAGGTGGCTAGCACACAATTTTCAAATAATGAGATATACGTGTTCTTTATTGAATTCCATAGGGATAAATTGACTTTCATAGAATGCTTTTATGGATTTTTGCTAAATTCTTATATCTGTAGCCACCTAGTGTTTGCAACTGATGAATAAGCATACTTCCAACAGAAACATTGTTTGATATTTTTATTTACTTAAATAAGATGAAAGTAAAACAACAGAATGTATGTAAGAACTTCATTTATCAACCACGTGAGTGACTTCACTGCTGAATCTGATAATAGTTTTCAAATACTGGAAGATTATTTGCTCAATTATTTGTGCTATTCACAATGTCATAGATACAGTCAAAGCACATTTAAAGTTTAAGCTGCATCATTAACATATTCTCCATCAATATCTCAGGTCTGAACAATAAACAAAACAATAAATCAAGCCCACATTTGTAGCATTTGGGTATATAATTCCACACTCCAATACTCCCACCAAGTTAAATTTCAATCTACCAATGTGATATCACTGATTGTAGAACTGGGAGGAAATGTACCACAGCCCACTGATATATAGCATTTCTTCTATACACATACAATGGATATAAGTAACCTCAAGATCATAGATAATAAAACCTAGTAAATTAATTAGAAAGTTATGAGTTTTTAATATTATTACCTTTGTTTCTAATATGATTTATTTAATTTTAAGTTTATGTAATTTAATATTCAATAATGGCTGTATTTAACAACCAGCTCTCAAAATTCCTGGAAAAAAAAAAATTCTTCTCAAATAGTCTTGCTGTCACCTAGACTGGAGTGCAGTGGCATGATCACAGCTCACTGCAACCTGCACATCCCGGATTCAAGTGATTCTCATGCCTCAGCCACCCAAGAAGCTAGGATTACAGTTGTACGCCACCACACCCAGCTAATTTTTTTGTATTTTTAGGAGAGATGGTTTTAGCATGTTGGCCAGGCTGGTTTCAATCTCCTGGCCTCAAGTGATCCACCCACATAAGCCTCCCAAAGTGCTGGGATTACAGGTGTGAGCCACCATGTCTAGCCTAAAAATTTCTGAAAATTTAACAATCCAGCACAAAACTAAATAAAACAGTGGTTTTCTGCTGGCACATGTTTTGTTTTTTTTTTTTTTTTTTTTCATTTTTAACAGGACTATGAAGCAGAATCTTCAGCTGTTATTGATATCCAGCAGAACAAAAGTTAGCCTATATACAGTACATATATAAGTATTCCAATCCCCCATTCCATTATCAACTAATGGGACCCAGCCAGTAAAATAAGAATTGGGTACAGGATATTTTGACTCAGTTAATGCACTTACTCAGTGTTTTAAAATGTTTGTATTTGAATGAGAATTACACAATCCGGGATGAAATTTCACCAAAATAATATTAACTGAAGCAACTTCCATGAATGCAATTTAATTATTTCATCAATATGGACCTTAGACAGAAATATATATTGAGAAACTGGAGTTCACAAAAAGGCTGAAGCCCACAAGTGCTTACCAATGGTACCACCCAAAGCCATCGCTCCAGACATCTGAGCTAGTAATTCTGGGGCCGGTTTTAGGACTCCAAGGGTGGCTGCCAGTCCTCCAGCAACCCCAATCATACCCAATGCATTTCCAAGACGAGCTGTTCCCTGGGTGGAAAGCCCAGCCAAGGCGCCAACACAGCACAAACCCGAGCCTAGGTACATGATCTTTTCAAAGGGAAAGGGAAGAGATAGAGAGATTACTAAAACCTTTGGTCTATTAGCTTAGAAAGTTTAATATATTTCGTACCCATTAGGAATATTAAAATATTAAATACTTAAATTGTATCTGCAATTACATTGTTTATATAAATTGGTTTCCTCTGGATTTGGTATCATGCACAAAAACACATAAAAGTACCTAAATGTAAATGGAGTTATCATTGGATCTAAAAATACTGAATCTGACCAAATGCTGTAAAAGAGCCAACCCCTGATGTAAGTGCCAGGGGCTGGGCCATATATTTTACTTGTATTGTAACAGTCTCATAAGATCCACAAGAGGGAAAAATCATTATCCTCATTTTGTACAAGAGAGAATCAAGGCTTAAAGAAGTTATATATTTTCTGCAAGGCAAATGATCAGTAAATTGGAAATCTGGAATTCAGACTAAGGTCTTTCTGACTCACTGCTCCAACTCGTCTCAAAAAACGAAAAAATGTGTTCATTCAGTAAATACTCCATGTTGGAAACACAGAAGAAACTAAAAGACAGTCATTGAAAAGAAATAGAAAATGCGGAGTTCAGAACAAAGTTGAAGCTCCGTTATATTACAAGTTGGAACTTTCAAAGTCCAGCTGGATTATTTCTGTTTTCCTATACAGCATTAAGTTTAAACTATCCTCTTTTTTAACGAATTGGCATCACATCTCTTGGTAGCAAGAGATGATATGCTGGATTTGTAGAGGAAGAAATAGGAAAATAACTAATAGTACCTAATAAAAATGTTTCAAATTTTTTATTAATTGCTTCATTATAAATCCACAATCTAGCTAGGTACATAATGAAGATACTGATAACTTTCTTAACTCTTTTTTACATGTGGAAAAATGTATTGAAACAAAGGTATAAACCCATATTTAAACTCAGTTACCAGAAAAATCTGTCTCCAGAATCCAGGGTCCTGTTCCTTAGGGGAAGAGAATGCTCAGTTTGACCAAGATGTTTCTAGGGTTATTGTTGTATTTACTTGAAACAGTTGTATTTGCTTGATAATTTGAATTAGGGTAACCTAACAATGTTAAATCTAATAGAGAAGAAAATATTGTGGTAAATATAAAAACTTTCAAAGAGCCTCTTACCTGTTCAATGTCATAACCACTGTAGAGGGCAGCTAAATATCCACCAACAAAGGTGCCAGCAGGGAGAAGATACAGGTAGTTGTATTCTGGGGGGTCAGTGGGACGCTTGAACATGTCCAGCATTCTCTGAGTCACCAGAAAGCCACCTTAGCAAAGCAAAAGGAATAAAAAATGTGAAGAGGTACCTCTTTGAACTCACTGAGCAACATGATTTTTTAAAGTGCTATAATTTTTCTATTTTAAACACAGCTTTATCACCTAGGAATAAATATAAAGTAACATTTTGCAACCTCAAAAAAAAATTGTTTTTTTTGAGATGGAATTCTCACTCCCAGGCTGGAGTGCAGTGACATGATTTTGGCTCACAGCAATCTCCACCTCCCGAGTTCATGCTATTCTCCTGCCTTAGCTTCCCGAGTAGCTGGGATTACAAGCTCGTGCCTCTATGCTGGGCTAATTTTTGTATTTTAAGTGGAGAGAGGTTTCACCATGTTGGCCAGGCTGGTCTCGAACTCCTGACCCCAGGTGATCCACCCACCTCGACCTCCCAAAGTGATGGGTCACAGGTGTAAGCCACCATCCCCAGCCAAAATTTAAAGTTATTCTATTACTCAAGCCAGTTCCATTAAAAAGGTGGGGGAAAAAAACACTAAATATATCCAGGAAGAAAATTTGCTATCGGAATGCAAAGCTATTTCTGTATGACCAAAAGAAAAAAGCCATTCAAAAAGCTTGGGAATGTGAAAGATCAAAGATTGTATTTTTTCTAGTAGGTTGTTACTTTTGTAAAACCCTATAATAAATTATAAAAGAAAAGAATAACAAATCAACAGTTACCAGGCTTCTTGGACACATTAAAGAATTTTTAGCTACAAAATAGCATCAAATGAGTCTCACACATGAGTGATGGGCTAGGCTTTCAGTTTCCAGGAACAAAGGCTGGCTGGGATAAGGCAAAAGACTTAACATTTTATCTAAAATTGTACTCATTTATAGATGTTATGGTGATATCGCGAACTCAACTTAATTCAAAGCTATGCATTCAATAACAAGTTAACTTGTGGCAAGACATCGTTTTGTTTGTTTTGGAGAACTGGGGCTTGTTCTTTTATCAAGAGTTTCTAAAAATTACAGATGGGCAAAATAACTAATTTTCCTGCACGAAGAGCATTTACGGTCTGAGTGAGACCTTTTTTAAAGGCTCAATTAAATTCTTAAAATAAGGATGTCTATTTTATATTGATTTAAATTTGCTTTGCAGGTCTCCATTAAAAATAGTACTCTGAGGCCTTTCACTGACACTGTACCTGCAATGTTGACAGAGGATATGAATGTGGCAAGAGCAGCAAGGCCCTGAGAAGTTGTGGAAGGATACAAATGTCCTCCCATCAGCGCCAAACCACCAACTGCAGTCAGCCCTAGAAAGAAAGCATCAACATGGTGAATAATGATAGTGACACCACCAAATCCAATGTCATAGCTGAGTACCTCACATACATAGATCCATAGAGGGCAAAGTTCTCAACGTCAAAAAACAAGGCAGCTTCCTTATACCCTCATTAAAAGGATACAAACAATTTTCCTTATGCAGACTGTTGACAACACACCTTCACAGCATTCTCACTCAAATTACTACTGTGGGTAAAGGGTTAAGGAAACCTTTTCTCCTTCTGCATAGGAATTGGACTTTCCTTTAACTTTCTAGCTATGTTCCTCTAACACAGACGGGAATCCACCAATGTTATAGGCAACACTGCTTATGGTTAAAAAGTGACCCGAGTAGATAACTTGCATCTAAACTGGAAGAAACTCTTCATGAACTGTAAATGCCTGCTGGTGATGCCTAGCTTTGGATTTTCCTGGCTGCAGTACCTGTTGGAGTTAGATGTGTTCCCTGCAGAGATCCTGGAAGCTGTGCCTATGGCAATGTCATAAAAGATGACTATTGGCCCTAAGGCTTTCAAGCCACCAGCTCCCATGCTTGTCATTTCCTCATATCTGAACCATTGCTAGGGGCCAAAAAGAACAGATCCTGGGCTGTTGGGAGGAGGAATTGACATGTGCGTGATGGAGTATATGTTGTTTGCTGAGAGGCCATGGCAAGGAACACCGAGCCATCCCCAGGCAGGAAACTGCTAGAATAAGCAAGCAGTATGTACTGATCATGCACTAGTTAAACCAGCTCCCAAAACACAGGGTATATGACCTTGTCCCCATTGCTGATTCACAAAGAGTGTTTTTTAGCTTATTTCTATCTTAGTAGTGAACAGGTACTATCTGCCTGTTTAGCCTATCTTTATTCTATGAAGAAACACTGAGCATCTGCTTATTAAAAATAATCACTTGTTCACAAAGAATAAATATGTGGGTCAGCGTCTGCTCTGGGCTGTCAGCTGGGAAATGCTGGCAGACCCCTGACGATCCCACTTCGATCCCACTTTTGCACTCTATCTTTTTGTTTCTGTTACTTAATTCCTTCAGCGCCACCTGGGTTGGGGTCTCTACGACCGAGCTGGTCTCAGCACTGGGCAGCTGTGTGGACTGCTGCATGAACTCTGAAAAGACTGGCACCAAACAGAAATGCCAGATGCCACCTCAATGGAAAGCTGTGTTTTCTCGTCCCATAGCTTCATGGTGAATCTGATGTAACACAGGGCCTATTGTAGCCTTGTTAGGCTGAATGTTGAGTTGAATCCAAGGAGAGACTATAGGATATTACAACTATGATTCTGTAGAACACCAGTTTTCACATTTTATCAGTGGAATCCCTTCCTTAAAAAAAAAAAAAATCAAACTTGGAAGAAATAATAGTGGTTCTGCACTGCTTAAAATGAGAGCAGTCCAAACAGCTGACACACTCCCACGGCCTCTTACTTTGCAGGCCCACATCCATTCCCTCTGGGAGTCTGGGAGCCCTTAGATCACCAAAGCTGATACCTCAGATGCCAAGCAAAACAACTTGAAAAAACAGACTTTATAAACCTCATTGACAGGCATCCTAGAGCTAAGTAAGCCTATGAAAACCTAAGATGAGGAAGAACAAGAGAGGAACAAACCTGAGATTGCATTCGTCACAGACATCAGTGGCGAGTGGAGAGCAGGGGTCACTCCCCAGACGGTATGATAGCCCACAATGCCAGCCAAGCCAAAAGTGGTCACCATCTGAGAAAAGGCTAGATTGGGAGCCGCAATGCCCAAACCCAGTATCCCCGTGAGACCTAGAGAAAGAGGGTAAAGAGTTTGAGCTGACATCCAGTTATCGCAACAAGATTAAAAGCACACACACAAATATGTGGAATAGTCAATGCTTTTAAATTTCACTTCCTTGCCAGCAATGAGCAGATTTTTTAGACATTTGACAATTGAGAAGTGGGGGGATGCAGGAATACTGTGGACAAAACTCAACTTTCTGACCACCCCCCCACCGCAAAAATAAGCTATAAAGACCTAGCAATATTTATGAGTCACCTTAATAACAATTTGCACATTTTCCTCTGCATGGTTTGTCCTCTTCCCTGTTGTAACTTTCATTGACTATGCCACATGTGTTTATACAAGCATTTTTTTTCCCGATTACAGGCCTATGGAGGACCTATCAAGGTATTTTCTACTTGGACAAGACAGAACCTTTATAAGACAAGACTTTTATGAGGCCAATTTTATGTCACTCTAAGATTTGGCTGAGGAATAGGGGTTTTAAAAGAGTAGGAAGAATTTCATTCACTCCAGCACCTCCCCAAAACATATGGCTTCTACCCACCCGGGACACAAGTTTTGCAATTGCTCCTGAATCTGGACTGGACTGCTGGCCAGGGCAGTCAGCTCTAGCCTCAACACCAAGTCAGCAAACAGGATTTTACAAAGAAAAGGAAAAAAAATATACAAATTAAGTTAAGAATGTGCAGAATACAAACAGCTCTGAACATACATCTTTAATTATCGCCTTCCTTAATAGCAAACATATGGACAGTTGTTCTGCAACAAAAGAAAGGGTTACCTCGTGGTCAGTAAAAAGAAAATGACAGTGGGTGACCAGGGAGCTAGAAATTAACTTTCCTGAAGAAGGTACCTTTTTCCTTGGTATGAACTATTACTTTGGAAGTGGCACCACTGGAATATCTAGAGAATGACATTAATTTTATGTTAAATCAGCCAACATGACTATAGTTTTAATTTATATTTTCCTACACACGTATCATATATCCAAGGTTCCAATGCATAGCCCATTAACCATGTGGTAAGAGAGTCAGATACAACACTGTTTTGCCTTCCAGGTAAAAATTAGAAAAGTGGTAGAGAGTTGTGAATAAGAATATGTTGCCTTAAGTCAGTCTGTCTGGTTTGAATCCTGGTTCCGCCGCTCCCTAGCTATGTCATCTCAGGCAAGTTACTTAACCTCTCTGTGCTTCAGTGTCTTCATATGTAAATTTATCAACCCTCTCTGTCTTAATTTGAAAAAGAAAATAATAATATACCCACTTTGCTGAATTTTTGTAAAAAATAAATGAGCTAAGGCATGTGAAGTATTTAGCACAATGCCTAGGATTCACTAAATGCTAGCTATTATTAAGGCCATGTTAGTCAAGAAGCACTATCTTATCACAATCCACAATCCTTTGCGTTAGGCATCTATGATAGAAATTGTATCACACATCTGAAGGTCTTCTTATCAACTATTTAATAAACTGATGTGTTTTCTATAATATATTTAGTAATGTATGTCAGACTGTATGTCTGCAGTCTGTATAACAGAGGAAGAGAAAAGCTGACGAAAGAAGAGAAAGCAAATCATATTCTTTGAAGAATGCTGCTCAAATACATTCCTAATACATATTTTAAAAATGCTTATTTTTAAGATAAAAGAGGACGTTTAAGGTAAGGAAAAACACATATAAGGTTATCCTTTTATTCACTGGACTATGCTACTGTCATATATATTAAGAGGCAATATACCCTGATTCAAGAAATATAAGAGAAATCTAGAAAAATAAATCATTACGTGTGCCTCACTACATTTCCTGATGAATCTGAAAGAGAAATGGAAATTTATAATCCTACTCATAATATGCTCCATGTACAACACAATAACCTCATTTCTTTTGTTTTTTTTTTAACAAATGAGTGCAAGTAAGGACACTGCTTCATCTACTCACAGTATTCACAACTAGAGGCTTTTTCAGTCATTTTGCTGAGACTTGCTCTTTATTCAAGGAGAGTTACATGTTTCGCTTTAAAACATCTGGACTCACATGGGAATTTAGAGAATGCTGAGTCTACAAGACTTCTGTGTGCCTGGTGCTGGTCCTTAATTCTTTATAGTTTGCGTTTGTTTTGTTTTTGTTTGGCTCTGAATAGATCTAAACATTTTTAATTCATTCTTTGAGACAGAAACCAATCTAAAATCAAATATCCATATTTCAGCCTCTAGCAATGAATAGTCAGGATGAATATTAATCACCACTTTATAATAAATTATTTAATGTTTTTGTGAAGATGAATTTAAAAACAAAGAATTTATGTCAAATTGTAAAAAAAGAGATCTAAATGAAAATATTGAGTTTACAAGCTGAGTAACTTAAAATGTTAGTCAAATGTTCACGGGCTATAGCCTATATTGCAGTATATATTCTTTAAGGCAAACATTTGGTTCCTTAGTCTTACCCATGTGTGGATAATCACAGCTGATATTTTACAAAGAATAGAAAAAAACATAATTAAACTTATATGCATTTAACACCATCAAAATATGGCATACATCACTTCTCAATACATTTGATGTAGATAAAATAATCCCAGCACTCTGGAGGCCAAGGCAGGAGGATCACTTGAGCTCAGGAGTTCAAGAACAGCCTAGGCAACATGGTGAAGCCCCAACTCTACAAAAAAAAAAAAAATACAGAAATTAGCTGGGCATGGTGGCATGCACCTGTAGTCCCAGCTACTCAGGAGGCTGAAGTGGGAAGCTTCCTTCCTCAACCCCAGGAAGTTGAGGCTATGGTGAGCCATATTCACACCGCTGCACTGCTACCTGAACAATGAAGAAAGACTCTATTTCAAAAATACATATACACAATTGGTATATTTTTAACATATATAAATGACTGTATTTAAAATGTTTTCTATAAAAGGAAAAATGTTTATTGCCTGCATATTATTTCATGCTTTCATTCCAGTATTTAGCACAGTGCCTACATATACATAATAGGTATATTTTTAACATATGTAAAAGACTGTATTTAAAATGTTTTCTATAAAAGGAAAAATGTTTATTGCCTGCATATTATTTCATGCTTTCATTCCAATATTTAACACAGTGCCTCTATTTATTGAGTCCAGTAAATAAACTCCAATTCTGTAGAGGTGGGACAAGTCACATGCTGCTGAAAAATCAAGTCTGTCAGGCCCAATACTAATGGAATCCAAAAAAGACTACAGCATTTCATTTACTAATTTTGAAAATTAATATATTACTTGCAAAATCAAACAATCAGGACTAAACCCTGGTTAAATAGTATCCTCACCTGCTGTATACGCAGAAGCCGACGTCATTGTCTTCCTGAAGGGTGTAATGGTAGCTGCTTTTTCAGCTTCCAGCTCAGCCACTGTCTTCTGTTTTACTGGGGTACCCTGAGGAATATTTTTCGGTGTCGGAGCTGGGAAAATCACTTTACCATCCTAATAGATATTAGAAAATAGTACGTATTAAAAAGCCAATCCAGCATTTTAAAATTGCTTACAATAGGTTACTATTTTTTAAAACCCTGTTCTTTTCAATATAAGTTTATATAAATTCATATCATTTGTAACATCATTTTACATAAATATGTCACATGTGTATATAAATACTAATATCCGTGTTACACATACATACATAAATATGTAATTTGTATGTGTATAGGACATATACACAAAAATGCAAATCAAACCCTTAAAAGCAGGTAAGTGGGGGAAATATTTAATTTTTACTTTATTTGTTTGTTCATTCTCCATTTTTCAAAAGCAGTGTACACTTTTGGTAAGTCATGTACTTTTAAATCTTTGAAATATTTTTCTTTAAATCATTCTGCATTTCAAAACATTTTCAAATATGTTTATGCCAGCATAAACCTGGCATACCAATATCTTATTAAAATATGTCTCAATTCTAAAATAGGATTCTCCCATAAACAAAATCCTAAAACAAATTTACATTAAGAGCACAGGAAGAAGTAGATCTCTTTACTTACCTTCATCACTACAGTCCCTCTGATGACATGACCCATCGTACCAAAGTCAAAGTCATCTTTCACATCAAAATAAAAATTATCTTTGTCTGGGCTGATGGCCTTCAGGAGTTTGGTGATGTTGTTGGAATATAGGGTGCTAGCCTGAGTGGCCATTCGGCTGGGCAGGTCTGTGTAGCCTATGTGAGTAATTCCCTAAATGAACAAAATTAAAGTCAAAAAGGTCTATCTCCCTATGTTCACATTCATTCTAGGACAATTCTCATTCATATTCAATGCTGTTTTCAAATTATATATCTTTATAACTATACAGATATGCCCATAAACATAAATACATATTACAAAAGGAGCATTAAATATGCCTATTTTTAATTTTAAAGTTTCAGGCCTCAATGGCTCTAAATATTTAAAGAAATAAACATCCCCTCATAAATCACTGAAGACATGACAAGTGATCACAGAGAGAAAATGCATTTTGCTATACCTTATGAATATAAAGTTCTCCTGGCCTTGTGGTTTCAAAGTTTCCACCAGCCTCAGCAGCTAAATCCACAACAACTGAACCTTCCTTCATTGACTCAATCATTTCTTTATTAAATAAAACTGGAGCTTTTTTACCTAATAAAATCAAAACAGCACAAATTATATTATCATTTTCTAAAGCCTTAAAGTCTAATTATTACAGTAGTCTCTGGGCATTCAGGAATTTAACCTCTGAAATTTTAACTCTCTCTTGGAAAAACCATAGCATGAATTTTAACTCTCTCTTGGAAAGACCTTAGGAGATTGGGCATTCTCCTAAGGAAAAAAATATGACAAGCGTGAGCTGCAAAGGCAGTGGGAAGGAGGGAGCTATGCGACTGGCAAGCAGGCCCTGCCATCTGCTCAGCATGAGAATCTCAGCACTACTCTCTCTACCTGGTTTATACACCACAGCATTCACAAAGAGTTAAACAGTTTGAGTGTTTTTTTTTTAAATTTATAATAATAAACCACTGTGGAAACTATATCCACCCAACTGAACAATTCATAAAGGTTACCAGTGTTAAGGGTACAGTTAATACTAATTCATGAATTACAAAATAGAATCTTGCCAATTATCTTAACATATGTCACCAGATTTTCTGATACATCATATTAACCTACCATAATTTAACACAGAAAACTTTGAGGAAAGACGGGAAAATCCCAAGAGATCAAAACAGTGGAAACCTACAACTCCAAAAGATTTAGGAGTCCCTCATACACTTACTCCCACTGAACAACTATGTACTGGTGTCTATAGTGAGTCAAGCCCTAGCTATGCCTGGTTCTAGGAATACAGTGGTAGATAAACAGAAAAAGTACCTGTTCTCATGGTGTGCATTCTCCTCACTTAATAGTTCACATTTTTAATTCACAATGTGTTTTTTAAAAGTTCATTAATTCTTACATAGAAGATGAAACCCCAGACCTTAGGACTTTTCAAGCTAATATACATCAATATGTTCAACAGGGGCTCATACTGTCAGCATGTTATCATGTTCACATTTCATAAAACAATGGAAATACCTAAATCAAAAGATAAACTTGTGAAATTAGTAGTATTAAAGTAGAGCATGGCCAGGTGCAGTGGCTCATGCCTATAATCTCAACCATTTGAGAGGCTGTGATAGGGAGGATCACTTGAGCACAGGAGTTTCAAACCAGGTAGGGCCACATAGCAAGACCCCATCTCTACAAAAATAAAAAAACTTAGCTGGACATGGTAGCACATGCCTATAGTCCTAACCACCCAGGAGGCTGAGACAGGAGGATCACTAGAGCCCCAGAGCTCAAGGATGCAGTGAAATATTCTCACGCCACTGCATTCCAGCCTGGACAACAGAGTGAGACTCCATCTCTTAAAAAAATTTTTTTTTTATAAAAAGAAACCAGAGTATTAATAGCCTGATAAGCTCTTCTTTTGAAAGCTTTTAATTCTGTGTTTACAGAATTTTAGTAAAAATACTGCCAATATTATAAATGAAAACTGATTAAAAATAAAATGCACCTTATACTAAAATGTTTTTCAATCCACTTGACTAGAATATATATGATTCAAAAAGGAAAGATAACCTTTGTAGTACATGTGGAAATAAAAGGTTGTGAAGATATGAGTGAAGTGCTTATGTAGCACTCCCTTATTTCTGCCATAAACTTTATAGTTTTGAGATAAAATCCAAATCCTACGGCTCCTGGGACTGAATGCCTCTCACCCTGGGTGAAGTACTTTCTCTAGCATGCCCTCTCGAAACTGCACCAATGGACCTTCTATTCCAGCCACACTGGGCTCGCTGCCATATGATTTGTTATATGGCAGTTTCCAATAAAGAGCATCAAGAGACATTTTCCCCAGAGACAATATCCTGAAGTGCTGGTAGTTTCACCACTTCTCAAAATTCTCTAAAAGTATTCCTTTCCTCTACCCTTCCTTCTGTAATCTAACAAAGGCACCTTCAATACCTAACTACACTTTACTCAACCATGAGAATTTGAGGAAGCAAACCATATCCATCTGAGGACTCTTCCCAAAAAAAAAAAAAGGTCATGCTGCTCAGCTCTCCTGTGATTTCAAGCTATGGATCATACGGCTGCCTCCACATAAAGAGGCACATTGAAAGGGCAATCTGTATTTTCCAGGTATTTGCTGTCATCACCTTCCCCACCCTCTGGTCCAGAGCCTCGTCTCCATTTACCAGCCTTTTGTTAACCACAGCTTTTCCTCCCACCTTATTTGCACCCAACTTTGGCCAATGATTGCACACATTTTATTTGGCATCTAACTTGTTTCTCCTGCCCTAGGTATTTGGTATTCCTTCTTTCTCCTGAGACATCCATAACTAAGAATCAGTCCCTGAACTATATGCTACCACTATGCCAGACATCAAGTGGCAAAAACCATTTTTAGGCTCCCTAGAAACATCAAAATATATAACCCATTTGTCTCCTCTCATTTTACACATTCAACCTCCACAAAACAACTGTGCAGTGGCTAACACAACTTTGAAAAACAGACATACAGGTTTGCATTTTAACAGAGATTAGTTGGGTGTTTTGTCCCCATTATTGCTCAGAAATTCAATCACTTTTAAAACAATAGCATATTCTTTCACATAGGTTAATTTATTTCGTATACAGACTAAAGGATATCACTATAACAAATTTAAAATTTTACTTAAGTTGCACAAAAATATTTAAAGACATGGAATTATTATAAGTAAAATGCACATAACAAAATAGTACATAAGTTTAGATATATATTTATATACATGAGTGTTTCTCAGTTATATATACATAGATTAATATTATATAATATAGTACATTACATATACTATACAGTTTGCAGTAAATTCTGTATCATATAATATTTAACAAAACCAGGGTATATTTGAGTGATGAGACTATTTTCTTCTCTGTGCTTTTCCTTATCTCCCAAATGTTTTAATTTTAAAATTAAAAAAATTTAACAAGGGCTACAGGGAATACAATGATAAATGTAACAGTGCAGCTGCCTTCAAGCACTCACATGTGGATTAATTTTTTGAAAATTCTGGAAAGTGCAGAAATAGAAATTAAAAACAGAAGGGAAAAAAATAAAGCCAAAAAAGAAGCAGGGTAGTAAATAAAACCTCCAGATGAGCAAAACTTCAATAGAATAGGTCCAGAGAGAGAGAGACTGAGAAGACAATTTCAAAATACTATCTTACCCTGATAGCCTAATATAATAAAATTTAATGCATAATAAATACAGCATTACACAATGAAGAACAAAAGTCATAAGATAATTAGTTAGGTATCTGGGTAAAAAATATCTACCCAAACCTAATACTATATGTTAAACTCTAGAAAGATAAGAATTAATTGTAAAAGAAGATAATTAATCCATAAAGTGAACGAAAAGAGGAAAAAGGAAACCCTGGTGAATATCTCTCCAGTCTGTGGATTAAAAAAGCACTTCCCAGGCTTAAAGCAATGAAGAAAATAACAAAAGAAAGCATCAATAGATTTAAATATGAAAAATGTATATATTACAATTCTCAAAAAAGACACAAATTGATGAAAAGCTCACAGAAATTCAAACAAAAACAAAACACTATAATCCTATAGATAAGTGAACAATAAATACAAATGGAAAATTCAACAAAAACCAGTAAAAACAAGCAAAAGATGTTAACTGTTAGTACGATGTGGCGAGATCACAGGTGATCTTTATTTTCTACTTCGTACTTTACAGCATCTCTAATAAAAGCCATATATCGATTTTATTTTAAAAATAAAATACTCCTGGGTAATCACGACCAGTTTCTCCTTTAAGTCAAGGAGAAGTAGTGGTTTAAGAGGTGGTAGTAGGAACACTAGAAGAACTTAGAAATACTCCATCCTACTAACTTGCTAACTGAAAAGCCTGACTCAAAGTCTTCTGCCCTCCCTTCTACAACAAATGAAGCTATGCAGTTAGGACAGTCTTTCAAGGAGTGTACCAAAACACTAAGAAAGGGAGACACAGGTATAACTAAACATGGAATATAAACAGGAAGATGTGTCCAGATATTTTACATGTATAACTTGGAAATGAATATATCCAATGTGTACTGCAAATCCTTCAAATATACAGAAATGCCCTCTACACCCCAGAGACAACTTGTTGAAAGACCTAGATATAAAAGACAAAATAAACACATTGTTCTGGCAAAGACTTATAAAAGAGAAAATAATAACGAGCACATCAGGTGTTTTGGGACATAACTGCAAAAGAAACAGGAAAATTAATAAAAGAAGGCAGATGAGAGGTATTTTTTAAGACCCAATTGGGCTTTTCCCCCTTTTGAAGGATTTGGCATGATATCCAACTTTGTGAAATATTTCTTGCTCCCTTCTGGTTCATGGACATTGAGTTCCCCTGGAAGGGTTACTCAGTTTCCTCTCAGTGGGAGTTATTTCCACACTTTTGCCAAGACAATTGTAGGACGTCAAGCTCTCTCAGTCATCATTCAAATATTCATTCATTCATTGACATAACTAATACTTACTTAGTGTCTCCCATGTGGAGGGTAGATGAAGAGAGAAAAATGTTACTTAGAGCTCTAGGGTCTAATATTTTACAACTGAAAGTGGCTGCTTTCAAAGGTTGGTCAACAATTTCATTACTAAAAGATTTGGGTATTTAAAGCACTCATGTATAAATCTGAATTATAGTTTCCCAATTGGTTGGCAGTTATCTGGAGTGAGTAAGGGTGCCATAGATTAGTGTAAGGCATCCTTGAATCTCCATGTGCACTATGAATTGACTGTAGACTGAAAAAAAATGCCTCATGCATGTGTACTGTTTCTTGATATATGCACATATGTCTGTGATTCACGTAAATTCATTTTTAAATGTTATTGGATTCATAGTATCTTTTGCTAACCATGTATTTTCTCAATAAATGAATACTAAGATGCAGTTTTAAAAGTATTAAAATGAGGAGCTGCTAGAAAAACTAACTTCTGCTTTGTTTTTTGTTTTTCCTCCTATGTGACTTGAGAAAAGATTACTAATTTCTAAAAATAGCTTTAACAACTCATTGCTATGTAGCAAAAGAATATATCATTGGCTT